CTGTCCTTCGCACCTGTCCTCTAAAAATCAAAAAGGACAACCCCTCCCCTCCCTCATTGAGCTCGAGGGCCAAATAACACCTATAAAAAATTGAAATGGACCGCTGGTTCGCCCATCTCCAATGCCTGTGACCTGCCGCGCCCCTTTCTATATCAGGTAATATGGATGTGGATGGAGGAGGAGGAAGGGTGGGGAGGTGTGGGAGAGGGCTGGGACTGTGAGCGCACCGCTACACCAGCTAATTGAGCGGCGTGGGGCCGGTGGGGAATGAACAATGCCGGCAGGAGATAAAGGAATGGGAAAGGGGGAGAGGGAAAGGGCTGAAGTCAGCAGAAGTAGGGCGGCCACCAGCCACCTGTCCTGCCGCAGAGGACGGAGCTGGAGAGCTGGAGGCAGATGGCGGCAAAGTCACCGAGTCCCCCCCTCCACCTCCCCTCCCTCTTTCCTCTGTCGGAATGCTTTTCTGTCCCCCTCGTTACACCTCGCGCCTCCCACTCCCCTGTTCCTTACCCCACTTCCCTGCCTCCGCTATTTCTCCCACAATGAACATTTCAGGCGTTTAACCGATGCCCTTACACAGAGCGACAGAATTAGCTTCACCGCTGCCGAAAAATTACGAGCAGAAAGGTCAGGGGCTTCGGCGCCGTCAGCATATCTTGGCACATCCTGAGAGAGCGGAATAATTATGCCAGGGTGAGTTAGGAAGAGGCGAAGAAGGAGAGGTGAGTATCTAGAAACATCCTACATTTGGAGAGGTCACAAAAAACATTAGAGGAGACAGGGATACATGCAAAGTCAGTTTAAGGTGAAACACGGTGAGTGGCGAAGAGCTGAGGAAAAGAGCCGCTCGGTTTAAAGTCAGGAATTCTTTGAAGACTTGTTCCTTTTATTTCTATTCTTGTTTAATATTATGAAACGTTTGGTTCAAATGTAGAAATGTGGTGATGTATCTTTCAATCAGTTCACGTTTCTCATTTAGACAAAATAAGGAGAGGCTACATTAAGTTTTACTAAATAGCGGCCACTGTGGCCACAAGTGGAAATTACAGGATGACAGCACATTGAATTTCCCTTCATCTCACTTCTACTTATTAGCTTTCACTTGTCTGTAGCCTAAATATGAAGCTACAGCCAGCAGCCGATTAGCTTAGCTTAGCATAAAGACTGTGAGATGGTTCCTCTCCAGCGACAGTTGCATGAGGTTAAAACAGTTCGGCATGTAATACCATACTCTCTAACCCTGAGTGTCTTAAGTCTCAATGGAGCGTTTCATTGAAGTCAACTTTTTATTTCCTATACAAATAAATTGTTATTTTGGCTTTAAAAAGTCGCAGTCTCACTTTAGGTTTGTTTTATTTGTTCTGAACAGGTGCAGCGTTAAATTATTGCGACACCTGTTCACATCATTTCAAATTACTGCTGATGCCTGACGCTCACTGTGGTAGTGGAAAGTTATTTTAAACCGATTTACTTTATCACCAGCGAAGCTTGTAGTTCTAAGGATTTTTTTTCCCCATTGCTGATTAAAACGATTTAAGGAGGAGAAATCCTCCCCCATCGTCTTTACCTTCTTCCCTCTGCTATCCTTCATTCTTAAATGCCCCTCTTGTTCCTTTACCTTCCTCCTCTCCTTCATCCCTCATTCTTACAACCTCTCAACACGTCTCTTCCTCCTCTGCACCATCCTCTCTCCCCTGCCGCTCCCCCATGCTGGTGTCATTCTGTTCCTCGGGGTAACATAGACACAGGAAGTTGGTAGATAAGCCAGGATTTGAGCTCCAGATTATCTGCCTGCCTGACTCCCTTGCTCTGCCTGCCTCCAACCACAAGGCCAGATTGGCCTGAATCCTATTTTTAGGCTGCAGCCAAAGAGACAATCCTTTTCCTTTCCTGGATTTGGTTTCCTTGACCACACTTGAAAAGATCTCACCCTCATGTCGCCATTTTCGCTTTTTAGCGTCCACTCCTCTGTGTGCACAAACCAGTCAGCACCCGTTTTACTTTAAAGGCAAATTAACAAGTGCAAATTTCTTGTGGTCCCAAAGCACATTTGTTGCAATGACACAGAGACCTAATTAATTAGTTTATTTGAAAGTGATCTCAGCTGCTCTGAATCCCCAGTAGATCCACTGCTTTAATGTCTCCCATGGAGGATACAAGAGATTCACTAGTTTCCACAACCATGAATGATGTTTTCCACACTCAGAGGTTTCTCAACAGCCAGGCAGACAGTACCGAGGACTCTCTGTGTCTGACTGACCCGGGTGCTGTGGCGAGACAGAGTCAAGCCCCACCGTTATTATTTCAGACTGGGCAGACTGTACTTTTCAGGAATAATTCTGCCAGCCGGGAAAATCATCTTGAATGCCGCAGGTGACAGGAGATCCCCAGGGCGCTCGGTGTTTGACGTTGACTGTTACTGAATTTTCATGGAGATGAGTGTGGAAGGAAAGTGACAATGTTTGGTGAGGTGTCAAGCGCCCTCGGCTTCGGTCAGGCTGCTGACGCCTCTAACTTCCCTGATTAGACATCTATGAGAGGGGTTGAGGAACCGCTGAGCACTTTCCTATCTGTCAGGGGTGTATCCGTATAAAAGCCACAGGAGGGTTTTTAGGTTGAACATAAATCTAAGTTGCGGCAGATGTCAAGAGTTCTTTACCTGCATGTCCCTCTTATTGTTGCTGCTGTGTTCATCTCTGCTGCTCTGGCTCTGGTCTGTGACCTCAGACTTGGTGGCGCTGTTGTCTTTTGGAGGGGACACTGCGTCTGCAGCCTCGGAAACCTTCATCGTTTCAGTGTCGACTGTGTCGGACATTCTCATTGCAAAGTCTTACTGGGAGATGCTTGCAAATACGGAGAACCTGAAAAAAAGATGAACACGTCGGTCAGGGCTAGTCACAAGAAACATGATTATGACAAGTTCATGTTGGTTGCATGTTAGGACGAGAGGCTACACAGGTTGAAGTTCTCCATTATTATCATGTCTTTTATTTTGGTTTCAAGGCTGCCAATAACAGGAACATACAAATAAAATACAACACCAAGTATAAGTATGTTAATTTACAATAATGTACTGCTCTTCAAGATAGGTGAATATGTACAGATAGACCAAAGTTGTTTATTAAAGTAATTTATAAACTGTGTCACCATTCATAGTTGAAAAGTCATCTACCAGAGAGTACCGCAAGGTTTATTTTTCTACTACAATCCTGCATGCTACATATGTTGGTCATAATCTTAAAACAAATAAATAAATAATAATTCTTTTAAAAAATGTAAAAAGGAAAATTATATTGATTGCCTCAGAAATCCTTTACTAGACACCAAGTGTTTTATAATTTATTGCAACTTCTACTACTTAAAATACTCTAATATCATCCATTTCATACTCTCCAAGAAGCCTAATATGCCAAAGTAAATGCATTTGTATCAACACAATAATACACTTCTTTACAGGTTGGGGTAGATTTATTATATCAGAAATAACAACGTATACACAACTAAATAATTAAAGTAAATTCAGAATTAAACATCAAAAGTCACGAGGTAAAGATCAATGCACAAGCAGCTTTCTAACATTATACAGAATCTGTGTCCAAAGGTTGTGGAGGCCTCCAGTCATTGTCCTCATCCTTCTTCTCTAGACTGTAAGAGAGACAGTTTAAAATGAGTCAAAATGAGGACAAATATCAATTTATGTGATTATTCCTTAATATTGTGGCATCATTTAATAAACAGACGTATAATATATATAGTGTGCTGGGGCATTAAGGTCCATAAAAGTAAAAAAATGTAAACAAATTTGAAGAAAAGCTATTTATCCATGAAGTAATAAATAAAACTTACTTGTTCACACTGGATCATTAAAATCAGGCCCACAGCGAAACACCTGCTCTTCATCCATAGTGAGGTCCATATTGTTTGAGGAGTAATGACTGTTTACTCAGTTTTTCTTGTGGGGCTTAGTTTGAAAGAGAAAGCTACGATCCT